GCTCCACAACATCAGAGCCTAGGATCGCCCCAGAGGGCCCACCAGTAACGAGAAATGGAGAGCAACATAGTCAGATGGCAGGCAAAGCAAAGCACAACCAACATAAACCATGTATAAGCGTTGAGGAGGCCAGGGTAAGTTAAGTGCCTGGACTCTCTGCAGCGAGGCTTTTGGGGAAGATGTGGCTTGTTGAATAGATTTTAAAGGCAGAGAGTGTTGAGAGCATCAGTATTTTACAATGTCATGGGTAAGTCCTGAGAAGACTTGGAGTCCCAAGTAGGGCTGATTAGTGCTGCATGGCTGTGAAGGAGCAAATGCTTTCATGGGCTGAAAATTCAGTGGCAGAAGTTGAGAAAAGCATGGGCCTTTGGTCAATTCAGTGAGTATTTTTTAAGCCCCTCTCATGTGCACAACACAGAGCTTTGTGCCAGAGAATAAAAGATATATGATATATTTTATTACATATAAATAAGAGTGGTCATCCTCCCAGGAGTTACTTACACAATGAACAATTCAAATTCAGCATAAGTTTTCTAAACATATCAGGCAGGGTTCTCCAGAGAGGTAAAATCAACACTGCATAGATAGAGCTATCGATGCAGAGAGATTTATTTTTATAGGAAGAGATCCATTTCAAGGAATTGTCGGAGCTGGCAAGTCTGAAATGCGCAGGGCAGGCCAGCAGGCTGGAAACCCAGACAAAAGTGGATGCTGCAGTTTCCAGGCAGATTTTTTTTCTTCTCTGGGAAACCTCAGTTTCTGCTCTTAAGACCTTCAACTGATTGGATGCGGCCCACCCACATTTTTCGGGGCAGTCTGCTTAGTCAACCAACTGTAGCCCTTAACCACATTTACAAAACATCCTCAGGCCAACACCTGAATTAGTGTTTGATTAAGCCACTGGGAACTACTGCCTAGGCAAGCTGACACATAAAACCACCCTTCACAGCATCCTATTAGTTCCCAGATTTATTCCATAGAAGCCAAAACGCAGGTACTTTACTTTAGAGACATTCGCCTTCTAGAATTGCTCTTCTAATGGGATTTCAAACTGTAGACCAGTGAGAGGCCAGAAGAGGGGCTGTCTCCAAGCCATTGTACTGCTGAGGGTGGTTTATAAAGGTTCTAATTCATTGTAATTAATTTTTATTGTGCCGAAGCAGAAGGCTGGCGGAGTGAAAGGGGGTAATTTCCCAAGTCAAAATAGCAAATAAGTAAACACAAATAGTGCCCAAGTTTCCGAGAGCAGCCCACCGTCTCCAGGTCTCGGGAGTGGAGCACAGACCCTAGGCCCTGGTGCCCCCTCAGCAGCCCTGGCCCTGGGCAACCCCTTCCCTCAGTATTCCAGGATGCTGAGCTGGCTACCAAGGCCTCCAGCCCCCACAACCCTCTTCCTGCCCCCAAGAGACCACATCGAGGCCCTTGTCAATTGGGTGGAGTGGAGATTTAGGGTGTTGAAACAGCACCCCCAACACCTCCCCAAAAAAGGCAAGGGATGCAGCACAGGGCAGGCTGGGGAGGGAAGCCCTCGTCGGTTGCCCTTGTTGCAAACAATGAAACGTCTGCACGGAGGCTCTTTGTTCAGCTCCACACTCGGAGCCCCAGCGAGCTGAGCAGTGCAGGCGCGTGTGCGGGATATTAAGTCTCATTTCAAAGCCGCTGCGGGGCCGGAGCGACGCGGGAGCGGCTGGGTGCTGGGGCGGGAGGCTGGGCACGGGTCTGAGCATCCTTACCGAGGGTGGGAGCGCCTGGAAGAAGACCAGCATCCGTGCTGCTGGGGCGTTTCCTTTTTCAGGGTGTGAGGGAGGAAAGGGGGACTCGGACTTTGCCAGGCAGGAACCCCTGTGTTGGGGTTTCTGGAGAGTCTTGAGTAATGACCAGTGTAGGTTTCTCATGGAGGACTCATTTATCTGGGTGCCACTGGGTGAGCCTGGCTTCCCAAGCTTGAAAATTTAGATTTATGGGGTGCCAGAAATTGGACCGGACACCATTTAATAGGCCCATGCACCATGAAGGTGAGGGTTGAGGGAGAAGAGTCAAAAGGGCAGGATGGATGGGGAAAGGACACAGTGTGAGGGAAACACAGCAAAACCTGATTAGGGCCCTACAATTCTAGCCACAGCAGGGGGCAAGTACAAGTGGAGCAGCCAGGGGCTTATGAACACAGCCCAAGTCAGATGAATCTGATGGAAGGGAGAGATGGAGGTGGAGGTGGAGGGGGAGAGTAAATGATCAGTGTCTCTGAATTTAAGGAAGGGCTGAGGCCAAGAGAAAGAGAGGGAGCAGGAGGTGGGGAGAGAGACAGAGGAGAGACAGAGAGACAGGGGACAGGGAGAGAGATACCACAGAGTCCTCAAGTCTGCATGAAGCAAACCTGCTGTTAGAAGAAGTGAATCGATAAAAAAGCCATTTGCTGATTGCAAATATATATATATATGTATATATATATATATATACATATATATATATGTATATATATATATAATTTCTTGTTAGGCCCCTTGCTCTGAAACAGAAGAAAAGCTTTGGGATTTATGGAATGTGGATTTACATAGAGAGGCCCTGTAATATATATAAATACTCGGCCAAGTTCTAATATGAAGAGAAAGGCCAAGGGAGGCCCGCTTGCAGGAGGGAAAGAGCAGAGGGAAGCGAAATCCAAACCGTGGGTTCTGTGCCTCATTCCCCCAGCGAGCGTGGGGAATTCACGTTCCTCCTGGCACTGCAAGTTCTTCATTTTTTTTATCTATTTTCTCCCTTGGGCTAGGGGAAGCAGTGTAAAAATGACTTTGCAGGCTTAGAAACGCTTAAACAAGAAACTATGTAATGCAACGCAGCTGATGAGAATCTCTCTACTCGTGAATATAGATGTTCATTCAGTATTTGCCTCCTCTCTGCAAGGCACGGCGTTGGATGTATAGGTGGACAGGTGCACGGTAGGTATTGCATTCATTCATTCATTCACTCCACAAAAGTCTGGGAGTAAAAAAGATGAATCCGATCCATCACTTTCCTCAAAGTGCTCCCATTCTTGTGCGGAGAGATAGACAAGCGAACTCACATGTGCAGTATACTCCGGAGACATGAAGTGGGTGGGGAGCCGAATCATGCAGAAGAATCACAGCCTCTTCCCAGAAGAGGTGACTTAAGAACAGGTTGTGGGCCCCTGGAACTCAGTGGCCTGCTGAAAATCACATTTCTCAGTCAACAACCAGATGTTTGGGCTACATGTTAACACACATGTGGGCATTTGGAAATGCCTGGATTCCTGGTGATTATATCCAAATGCCCAACAGCGTTTGGAGAAAGGAGAGCATGCATGTACCTTGTAAATAATGTAAGCATGTATCATGTAATAATTATTTTTATGAGCCATTCTTCCATGAGGACACAGATCATCAAAATTCTTTGCTATTTATTATACATGAGTTTATTACTTGCCCTCAATTACATGGTAAAATTTATATCTTTGCACATGGCCAAGGTGGTAGGCCCTGTGGCCCAAGGCAATTAGATAAAGCCTTAAAGAAATCAGACTGAACAAGGCAGAAGTTTAATAAAATTCGAAACCCACAGCTGTCAAGCAACAAGAAGCCTCATGCTCGCAAATATCAGGCATACGTCACCACAGAATTGTTTAATGTAGGAAGGGCTGGGAGAAACTTTGCATGCCATTTTGGTGACAGGTTTAAAGACGATGCTGGTGCATGTGTGTGTGCATACATAGGCTTACACACACATATATATGCATGTATATGCATGGTGTGCTTATGTTAATGCAGGGATGTGCTAGCAGAAGGAAAGAAAAATCGCGAAGGCAGTGCTTCCCTTAAATAATCCCAGTCCCTTCTCATTTCCCTCTCCCGCAGCACCTTCTTGTCCCACACAAACCCCTAGACAGCTTGAAGTCCTCCAACCCCTCCCTCCGTGTTCCCCATCACCTGCATATGAGCTTAGTCTCTGATCCCTTCTCCCCATAACTGTCTTACCCGTGGAATCCTTTAACTGAAACAGTAATAGAGCCGAAAGCAGAAAGATAAAGTCCTGAAGATGATAGAACAAGTCAAGGCTGGATGTGGGGACAAGAGAAACAGGACAGAAACTTCCCTGATCAGGGGAGAGGTAAAACAAAGGAAGGATGAGTCTGAACACCTCGATAGTAGTTTCATTGCTACTTGTTACGACATCGGGCGAATCACCTGGGATTCTTTGGCTTGGAGTCAGTCTGTCTCTCGTTTGTGTCTTCCAGATCCTTCTATGATTGCCTCAAATAGAATGCATATCAGACGGCATAATCACTTCTGGCCACCTCACTCTGGACGGCAAGCTCCTTGAGCAAGAGGTCCACGTCTTCCCAGGGTCTAGCACAGGGGCCTGGCATGTTGAATGCTTTGCAATGAACTTAACTATTCGGAATGAGTTTCTCACCTGCAAAATGCAAGTCTGTCCACACTCCTCCACCTATTTATTGACTTGCCATTTACTGGACAACCTGCTCAGTTAAGTGCTGCGGGGAAATACACAGATACATAATCTAGTAGTTTACCTAAAATCACATTCTCTGCCTACCTCCCAGAACCATAAGGAGGAACAAAGAGATTGCGTGTATGGATGAGCTTTGGAAACTGTACCTGCTACCTGAGGTAAGGGATGCTTTTTATTTGTACTTATTACCTGTGCCATGCTGATGCTGTGTGCTTGCCTGGCTCTGCAAGGGTTATTTTCACAGATTCTCACAATCTCCCTTCTCTGTAGCTCCCAGCAGATGGATTAAGTGTAATCTTGGAACCGTTCCAGGTTCCCTCTTTAAGACTCAGAATGTTCAATATTTCCTGCACGCAGCAGGCCGATCTAGCCTGGTATGACGTCAGGGACTCGGGAGGGTTCACTCCCCAAGCATCCCTGGTGTCTGGGCCCCACTCCCAACTTGTCCAGGTTCCATGGAGCTTACTTGGAAAGCAGGGGAAAAACCTCAGCAGAAGCTGCCACTGCACCCTCACCTGCTTGTATCCAAGATGTCCTGCTCTCTGACTCCCTCTGAAGCACCAGCCAAGGAAGAGAAATCCCACTGCCAACTGCCCCCGCTTTCTGGAGCGGCCTGAACCCACAGGTGGCAGGTGGAGCATCTGGGCTGATCCACGGCTCAGGTGTCGTTGATGGTGGAATTAGTACCTTTGAGGGGTGTCCGCGGGAAAGTGAGCGAACAGCAGCCAGTGGAGTCCCCGGAATGCTTGTTGAGCTAATATCATGGGAGATGGGTGTTAAAAAAGAAAAAACCACCCACCCCGCACTGTAGGTGATAAGACCCCATCTGGTTCTGCAGTGAGAACTGCCTCCCTGTGACTGCTCAGAGCTAATGCCTCCTTTTTCCTACAGCAGCAGCACAAACGGGATCATAACCTCCTCCAAACACTGATGTGAGGAAGGAAGCAGTTCTAAGGGATCTTTGGGAGCATTTCAATATGGACTCATCTCCCATTCCCCTTTCTTTCTTTCCCTCTTTTTAATTAATTTTCATAATCACTTATACAGGCTGAATACACGTGACATACTCTGGACTCATGTCTGCATTTAAACAGGAACCAGTTTTGTGCTTTGAAATGTGATCCTTTTCCGACTTTTCTCCATCCTTTGTCTTTCTTTTCCTTTACTCTCCCATCCTCTCCTTACGTTTTTTTCTCCAACCCCCTCATACTTGGTGGATTACAAAGTCATTTCCAACCTCCCTCCGTCACATTCCCATCCTCTTCCCCAACCACATCAATTCAATTGAACGAGTATATTCCACGGTAGAAAGGAAGGTAACTAAGATGCATTGAGCTGTGAGGCTCCAGGCATAGTGCAAAAACACAGAATATAGACAGATAAGCTCCCTGAACTCATAATTCTCACCTGTAGCCTGGGGACATGACCTGGTGCTAAAGCACCTACCTGATGCACAACCTACTAAGGCAGTAAAGGTGAAGGTCTAGCAGAAAAAGAGGGTATGAGTTACAGGGGCTCTTAAAGAGCATGAGATCCAAAGACCAGCCCATGAGGAGACCCTCCCACAGATGGTCACTGAGAGATGATCACCTTCCCTGTGGAAAGAATTGCAGTCCCAGGTACAAGTTCAAGCCCTGCCTTAACTGACCTTTGTTAAAGCTGTGACCTCTTCTGACCTCAACTTCCTTGTTTATAAACCGGTACAATTCAACCAAATAACCACATATGTTTCCCAGCTCTGAAATACTTTGAATCTGTGACTCCTTCCCTGAGATTTTCTTTGGGATCCACATCATGGTAAACCTGTATTAAAAGGGACTGTGGATACAGGTAAATGTCAGCTGTGGTTTATTCGGGAGACCAGATCCCTGAATTCTTGTCATAACGGCCTGCATTTGGGACTATAATAGTTTATAATTATTCTTGGTATATATTCTGCGTCCAGCTACTAAAATGTGGTCTGCTCTAAGCATTTGAATCCATGGTATTTGGAAAGACAGACCATTATTCAATCTGTAGCCATCCTTACTGGAATCCTGTTCAGACAGAGCTTGAGCTGCATGAGCTAATGAGAGAGACCTTTTATCAAACCCTGGAGGTCAGCAGACGTGGGCTTTATGGGAAAAGTGAAAGAATGAGGGAAATTCTATCATGGTCATGAAAAGGCACTTACAGTAAATTCTGTTATCCATCAAGGGGGAGTAATAGGTTGTTCTGGTAGGTGGTGAATGGAGAGTCTTTGTAGTTGCTACATGGATTATCAATTTTCAAAGATTGAAAGAGACATGGAAATACACCAAAAAGTTGCTATAAATAAATTAATCCTCTTTGAGGATTCCAAAACTCTTTGCACAAATGTTACATTGCAAGTGAGAATGATCAGATTTGAAGTCTCATTTTTGCTATTGTCAAAAAAGCAGGGCTCCTGTTTCCCAATCCTATTGCTTTTGAAAAAGATAATGTTACTAACCATGATTTGGGCTGTCCTCCATCCCAACTGCCAATTACTGCCCTGTTTCTGCTCCATGCTTTAGCCACGTTTGGCCATAACCATTTCTAGAAAATGTCCCAGAGTCTCCCATTGCACATCTGTGATAGGTGCCTCCTCCCTCTGTGTGGAGGGGCTCCTGGCTGTCACTGCCCTGCTTCCCTACCTGTCAAGCTCTGCTGTGGTCTCTCTCATGAAGCCGTCCATAATATCCCCCAAGAGATGTGACTGTTCCCTTTTCAGAACACCCACAGCACTTTGTTTTCATCTCCCTTATGGCATTTATTGATGCTGTGCTCTTTGGACCATATGAATCTATCTCATCTCAGCAACTTCCCTTTAGAGGAAGTTTGACATGTAATCTGCCTGTGGTCATTAATGTTCTTACTGGACCTCAACCTCCTGATGCAAATAGAAACCTAGTATTATTTAAGTTTTTTTTTAAGATTTCATTTATTTATTTGAGAGAGAGAAAGCATGAGCGGAGGAGAGCCAGAGGGAGAAGCAGACTCCCTGCTGAGCAGGGGGCCAACTCAGAGCTTGACCCCAGGACCATGAGATCATGACCAGAGCTGAAGTCAGATGCTTAACCGACTGAGCCCCCCAGACACCCCCAGAAACCTGGTGCCATTTATCAAAATTTTTAAATTTTGAAAAAGTAGGTAGTCTGTATTACTTATATCTAGATGTCTGTGAGCATCTTGAGGGCATGGTCCCATCTAAGCAATCTGCATTTCCATTTCCCAGAGAGCCTGGAATGTGGTGGGGAGCAATCAATGTTTGTTGCATTAAACTGAACATAATAAAAGGACACCTTGACCCATTGACCCATTAGCAGAATGCTAGAGACCAAAATGTTCACAAAACTTAAATCTCCCATTTTCAACTTTAAAAAAAATTATATTTTATATTGGAAAGGAACAGTGGTATGCACAGTCTCTTTTTGAAGCTCAAATGGCTTACTTTAATAAAGAAGCATCAGTAACCTAAAATCTTTCCGGAGATTTTTGACAGACTGCTTTATCATGTCGGCTCCTAGTAGTTGTAGGGATAGATTCATTCATTCTCTCCACAAATATTACTGAGCACCAACTCTGGGAGAGAAGCTATTAAAGTGTTAGGGTTGCAGCAGTGGAACAAGGCTTCTTAAACTCAGGGAGTTTATATTCTAGAAAGGGAGCAGGATAAGAAAGTAAACAGACAACAAATATGATTCAGTGATACAGAGGAAACAAATGAGTGGTGGGGGGATAGTACTTTCTATAGGATGGGTGGTCAGGGAAGATCATTGGGAGGAAATTTTCTATTTGGCTTAAAGAACGTAGGCAACCTAGAGCATATTTGTGTGGTCCACACAAATATGTGAGAGAAACATATTCCAGGCAAAAGGAATATAATGTGCAAAGGCTCTGAATCAGGAGAATACTTGTGTTTGAGGAAGAGAATAACAAGGAACACAGTGTAACAGGATAGGATGGAACAGGGATAAGGTTGGGACAAGGGGTAAGAGATGAGCTCAGAGCAACAGCAGTGGGTCAGATGAAGGAACTTAGGCAGTAGTGAGATTTGGATGTTATTCTAAGATGGAGGCTTTTGGAGGATGTGCAACTGAAGTGTAATGTGAGCTCACTGCTACGCTGAAAACACACAGGAGAAGGCAGGAGTGGTGGGCAAGTCTGCAGGCGCTGGACTCCATTAGGAGGCACCACAATAATCCAGGACGCTGGTGGCTTCAACTATGGGGGTGAGTGGTGAGGGTGGGAAGAAGTCATTGGGTCTGGGATATATATTTGAGGGCAGAGTTAGAAGTGTTGCTGAAGGATTGGATGTGAAGTCTGAAAGATCTCCAAGGTTCTTAGCCTGATGGATCAAAAGAATGGAGTTGCCATTTACTGAGATGGAGTAGATTGTAGTAGTAGGTTTGGGAGTGAGGGAATTTCCTTTGGGGTATATTAATTTGGAATACTGCTTAGTCATACAAGCAGAGATGTTGACTGGGCAATTAGGCATCTGAGATTGGCGTTCTAAAAAGTTCTGCAGGCTGGATACATAAATGCATGAGTTGCCAGCAAATAGTATTTCTACAAGTCTGTTTGGCTTTCATGATAAAATACCATAGACTGGTGGCTTAAACCAGTTCTGGAGGCTGGGAAACCCACAATCAGACTGCCAGCCAACTCAGTTCCCTGGTGAGGGCTCTCTTCTCAGCTTGTAGACAGTCACCTTACTTCTATGTCCTCACGTGGCAGAGGGGGAGAGAAGGAACCAGCTCCCTGGTTTCCTGTTTTTAAAAAGGCACTAATTCCATCAAGAGAATCTCACCCTCATGACCTCATCGTAACATCGTCACCTTCCAAAAGCCTCATCTCCAAATACCATCTTCTCAGGGATTAGAAGTTCAACATATGAATTGGGGTGGGGGGTGCTCAAGCCAGTTCACAGCCATATCTAATGCCACTAGACTGGTGTATAAAAGAGCAAAGAAGGGGGTGGGGAGGAGGGGAGGAGCAGGGAGAGGAGCCCTGGAGTGAGTGGTACTGAGGAGATGAAGCAGGGCCAGGAACAATCACTGAGAGGAGCAGCCTTGGGAGAGGAAGGGAGGAAGAGAGCCAGGAGGAGACTGTGGTGTCCTCAGAGCCAAGAGAAGAAAGCCTTTCAAAGAAGACAGATGGTCACCTGGGTCAAATGTTGCTGATAGATCAAGTGGGGATTGGGATGCAAATTGATCATGCATTTAGCAACTGGCAGGTCACAGTGACCTTGGCAAGAACAATTTTCTGTCAAGTGAAATCCTGACTGTGGTGTGTTCAAGAGAAAGCGAGAAAGAGGGATTCGGAGCACCTCATATCAGTTACTATTTCAAGGCATCTCATTGTGAGGGAGAGAAGAGCAGACACATTCTGCTGTAGCTGAAGAACCACCTGGAGAAAGGGGTGGTTCTTCTAGGGGAAGAGTGCTCTAAAGGCCAGTTGGCACTCACAGAGAATGTGCCCATGGTCTAGAACCTCTGGAAACTGCTCCTCCATCTACCCAGCAAAATGGCGTAAGGTACAGCCTCCCTGGAACACCCCAAGTCAGCAGTCCTGTATTGGCTAGAATCTAAAACCACCTAACACCTCCCTAGCTCTTCCTTCCTGGCTCTGCAGGCACAATTTGGTCTGGTCACCAGCACAATGACAATTCCCTATAGGTTAGTTAGAGAACCTGCAAAAAATTCTAAGATATGAAAAAGTCAAGAATGCAAAGCCAACCAGAGGATTATACTGTGAGCACATCTCTGGGTAAAGAAGGTAGAGGGAAAGGGGATGGGGTGGGTAATAACAATGAACAGGCAGGTATAAATAGATCCCCAGCTCCCTAAATTTCAGAGTGCTTGGGTACTCTACTGCAATCTGGGATCATTTCAGTTACTTCTAAATCCATCTCAAGTGATGCTGTGAACATACATTCTTTGCTGACAAGTGTTTCCCCATTGAACCTGGACCCAACACCACCATATGCTTTATCTGCTTTTCTGTGTGGCCTCTTTAATTGAGGCTGAAAAGTT